AAACTGTAAATCATACTCTGATCACCCCCCTCCTCCCAACCCCCCGATTTCCATCAGGTCCCCAAACCCCAGCTTGGATTCTGGACTTTACTGATCCCTCCTCCTCCTCCTCCTCCTCCTGCTGCTACAGGCTTGTATGAGCAACAGTGGGCCTCAGGGCTTAGATAAAGCCTGGCAGTCTTCTCTGTCTACAGGTCCTTTTATTCTGTCGGCTTGTGCTGGATGTGCTTCCTCCTCTTTTGTCTGCATTCGAAAGGTCTTTCTATCTAATGTAGTTTCCTTTCAATTCACTACAACCCCTGCATTTTGTCCTCTCTCTGTAATAAGATTGAATCTAAAAATAACAACAGCTCGTATTATTTCATATGTTGAAAACAGTGTGGATTTGTGTGTACTGGTTGGAAAAAACAAACGAGGGAAGGGTTGTCTATGCGGTCTTTGGTTGTATCAGACTACGGGAGGAAGACAAAACTCAGTGAAAAGCTAAAAAGACTGGGATCAAGCTGATGCTCCAATCAAACAGCCATGACTAGTTTCCAGAGTCAAAAGGATAAATTAGAAAATAACTAAACTGTTTAAAGGGGACTCATTACACTTGATTCCAGCTCTATAGTACTCTAATCTAGTAGAGTAGCTTTGCATTATTCACAGATGAAAATAATCCTTTATACTGAGCCTCGGTTCAGCCTTTCAGTTCCATCCTTGGTCTGTTTCTAGCTTTTTCCTGACTGGCTGAACCTCACAAATAGTAGGTCTGAAAAAGGAAGTGGGGCTGCTTTGCTAAAAAGTCAGTGCTATGTTTCTGAGTTGACCATATTAATGATAGGCAGGGGGCTGAGCTGAAGACTGACCAGAATGGACAGGGATAGTAATGAATACATCAGAGCTTAGGTGGAGCAGTGTGGGGACAAAGTTAGACAAGCATGGTTGAGAGGGTTTGGAGATGTGCAGAGGAGGAATAGTGGATATACTGGACAAAGGATGATGAAAATGGAGGAGGTAAAGACGAAGACCTCAGAGAAGATTCATGGATGTCGTGATTAAGGACATGCACAGGGTTGGTGTGACAGAGGAGGATGTTAGACAGAGGGTGAGATGGAAGATGATCACAGTGCAGAAGAGGAAGAAGCTCTCACTGACATCATACAGATCCAAGTGTTTAAAAAACATAAACACGTCTCCTATCTTGTTTTTTAGACTGAAGCTATTTCCAAATGAGGGAACCAAATGAAAATGACATGCAAAAACAATAAATAAATAAAACTGACCAAAAATCTATTTCTTCCTGGATTAGAATCCTTAGGAATCCTGAGGTTTCCACTACTTCAATAACTGTACTGCAAACATTTCTGGTTACACCAGACATGAATTAAGTCACCACTGGTAATAATGAGGTTAAGTAGGTCACAGATCATACATGTCACATATGTTTTAGTCTACATTTAACATTAATGAGCTCTCCCATGCTTATATACATAAACCAGATGACCATAGAAAGGTTCATGCAGGCAGAATTGGCCGTTTGACCGTGAACTTCTGCTACGTAACCCCACATGTGCTCGAGGGGCTCTGCCTGTTGATGATTTGGAGCAGTGTGAACGTGGAGGATGGTAGATGGAGAAAAATTAGGCCAATCATTCTGCTCAACTGCTTTTTTGCTGAAAAACAGAAACAGTCCACCAAACAGCCCTCTGCTTCACCTGCATTTATGTGTTTGCAGCATCATTTCCAGATCTCTCTCTGCAATGCTTTCATGTCTGTTTAACTCCAACTCTCACCCTCTAATCCAGACACGCCTGCGGTACAGTGTGCGCGCACAATCCTGCCCTGGCGACTGTTGCCTGGCTACAGCATGTTAGAAATCACATAAACATCTCCCCAGAGGACGGAGTAAGTGCACATAATGGAACGAGGCTGCAGGGAAAGAGGATCCAGTCTGGAGAGGGACAGAGGTGGTGCATTATTGAGGAGAGGGTTTGGAAACATCCAGCAGCAGAGCAAAATGTGCTACTCAGAGCTGAGCAGGTAACCTGGTCAGCTCTAACCAGGATATGTAATCCTGATCCTGGTAATCCTCTGTTACTGACATTTAACAACAACAACAAAAAAAAATCTGTACAAACTCACCGGAACAACCACGTCGTCATAGAAACTCCAAGCCAGTGCCCACCGCATGGTCCGCCCCTGGCAAAACTCAGTGTGGGTCACTTTAGGCACCTGAGCAAAAACAGAGAGGAGGCTGGAGTTAACAAGTGCACAACATGAAAACACTGCAGTACTCTGGCGACCAGGCCGTATCTGAGATCATCAAAACAATAAATTCATAAAGAAAATACACCACAGAAACTGATCACATGTAAAATATTTGTGGTAAAGAGAAAAAGTCCAAGTCACGCAAAATACATCTCTACAAACAAAATTAATGATAGTTAATTTAAACTAAAAATTGAAACTAGATGTGAGAAAAGAAACATTTTAAAATAAAAATGAGTTTGTGTACCATCGCTGAATTACACTGAATCGCAGAGAGGAGTAAAATGATTTTAAATGGAATAAAGATAGCAGGTGTGAAAACACTCTTAGGTGAAAATCTGTGGACGATGATCATTTATGGTTAAATACAGAAAAATCCAAACTTCAAATATTTTCCTGCAACCGAGGCTTGTCATTTCATATCTACACGTATCCGTCTCACTATCAGTATTCAGTTATTTTATCCAAATAAAATCCTTCCCATAGCACCGATTCAATATTTTGTTTAAAACAAAACCCATCATTATAAAAACATTTGGAGTATCAGTACTGATTGGCAGCTGTGACTGATTGGTGTGTGCAGTATCTGCGATCAAAACTAACAATTTAGGAATTTAGTCTTTCTAGAAAGCTGTGACTGAATCTGACAGTGTGATGTTTTGCCAATGTGACCTTTGGCTTCACGTCTCTGACAGTATGTGAGAACATAAGGAGGATGTGGGAATCCACTGTGTTGCTGTCGGGGTTTTCTCAGAAAATAAGAGGAAGTCACTTATCTTATATGTCAGAGGTCAGACAGCTCTGAGGGTGAGATGAGTTTTTATGTGTAACAGAGTCACATTTGCTAAATTAAAAACACAAACTGAGGACACGCTGGAGAATGAATCAAGTAATTGGTGATGAAAGCATTAGCATATTAACAAGCGCAGGTTTCTTTTTACACACGCTTCAGAATGAAGCCTTCTTCCTGGATGTTAGCCAATGCTGCACTCACTCTGATGAGCAGCGACACCCCAGAGGAGGGTTGAGGGGTGGCAGGTGCGGGGCGGGGGCCGGGCGGTCTGTGAGATTGGCGCGGTACTGCAGGCCCGCAGCAGTCAGGAGTCATGTGCTGGGCTATTAGTCAGGCTAATGACGCTAATGCATGTTAGCTACTGAGAGGCGTGTGATTCAGTCATGCACAGCAAACAGAAATCAGCTCATTCATGGCTCGTTTGTGAGCGTGCTCAGCTGGTGCTGGTGATTGCCTCCTTTAAACATCAATACATAGGAGAAAGGCAGCTTGGGCGACGGGGGTGTGGCAAAGATTGTTTTAACAAGCCCTGCAAGAAGCATCGTGTCTCTGCATGAACAAACTGAGATCAAAGCTGTGCCTGCTTTGTAACTCTCACTGATTACCGTGTTTGCGCATGTATTCGTAAATTTGTCTTTGTTCTGGGTCTCGCTGGCTACTCACCCCTTGCTTCCTCAGCTCCTCTTTCAAAGGTGCCAGGCTGCACTTCTTTCCCAACATGCAGCTGTACCACCTGCAGAAAGGAGAATCCATATTAACCAAACTGTGTCTGTTGGAGGTGTTAGTGGCCAACAGCCGGGCGTGAACCCTCGAGCACAGATCAAATGAGGAGAGGGGGAGTGCTCAGGGGAGCGACACAAAGTAAAATACGAGAGGCAGAAAAACATCCTGCAGCAGAGGAAAAACTGCTTTAAAGTCATCCCGTGGTGGACGCCTGATCAATAATCACTGCTGTGTGATAAAGACGTGAGGTTGGACTTGATCAATGAGCAGCAACATCCAGCTGGGGCAGGCGGAGGAAAGAAACACATCGGGGAGTCAGCCTGGAAGGATGGCTGGTCAATTTGACAGAGGTAGTCAAAACGTGTGTGTGATGTTTTTATTAGGGTTAGGGGTTAGGGTCATCATCAGGGTTTCATTTTATCGCCTCCGCTCTTAAAAACCAGAGCAGACTATTGTTCCAAACCAGCAAACTGCCAAAACTTCAGCTTTTATAGAGGTGCTCAGATTTGTGGAACATTACTTTACCAACTGCAGTTGATAATCTGTACCTGGCTGCTACTTAACCTCTTAATTCCTGTGGAAGCAGTAAGGAGGTGCCAAGTTATTCACAGGACTGTAAAAACTTCCTACATTTCAACCTGATGCACACCTCACTAGAAATTCAACTTGACGTAGTTATCGACGCAACCCATACAGGTTTTATTACTGGCAATGCTGTCACCCAGTTACGCTAAATCGTGGGCTCTACAGATTTGTATAAATCAGACATAAGAAATGTCTAATGATGAAGTCAATCATTTTCTATCTGTAACAGAGCTCAAAAAATTCACCCACTCCTTCATGGACTGCTGTAATGTTCACTGCTTGGGTCCCAGCCAAAAGTCCATCTCCTATTGCCAGCTCATTAAAAAAAAAGTCCCAGAATTTGAATAAAAAGACCACTACACTGGCTACTTGTCAAATGTAACATTCAATTCATTTGAAAGTTTTATTAATGACTTTTACAGCCTTACATGGCTCCTACCTACATTACAAACACAAGGACAAACCCTCCCTACAAGCCTTTTTTGCCATGCCTGTGGTGCTATTTTGTTTCCCTCCTGTATTTATTACATGTATTCATCCTATTTGAGAAACCTGTTCAATTTGAAAGCAAAACCTAAAACTACAAACCTTGGGTTTGACATTTACTTGGAATAGCGTAATGTGGTAGCCACACACACAAAAAATACAAATTCTGGACACCGTTAAGTTACGTACGTAGGTTTTGTGACTGGCTCCCCCATTAAGGAGGAGTTCATACAGACATACATAAATACTCTATGATCATTATAGTGAGATACTAGCAATTTGTGAACCATTCAACCATCTCAACATCTTTTAGTCTTACTTTCCTTATTATTATAATAACTATTATTATTTCATTATAATACAGAAAGCCTTTAATAGACATGTACATAGATGCAGTTTAACATCATTTCCTAAAGCGTTGACTTCAACTGTGTCAAACCTACCTCCTGACTGCAGTTGGCTAAAAAGCTTCTGTAACACCCAAATAAAATTAAATCTGACACATTATTTAACTTGTGACTGACAATCAGTAAGGACACTGACATGTAATCATGTTAAAGAGGCATGAGGACAGCCAGGGCTGAAGGGATATTGGGGAGCAGCCCGTCAGCCTCAGGTGACACGATGAAATATTTAACAGCTCTAATATTCACAGATGTTCGCCAATTTTGAGCGCAGTGGGGAGCAACGCCCAGGAGAGATCCCCGAATGCACCACCAGCTTTGAGAAGAGCGCAGCTGCATCAGCCTCCACTTTCAGTCTTTTCTCTTCTGAAGCACTGGCACGTGATTACAGTCTTATTACCAGAGACGGTAATTTTCATATCAATGGCGTGATGAATTAGGAGCATTACCTCAAATCTAACCGCACTTTTGGATATTTGGCTGAAAGTTAAACTCGCCTTATCTGACAGTAATTACCCTCTGGTGAAAAGAAAGGAAAGAGGAGCAGAGCGGGGCAATGGGGGCGTCTCGAAGGACCAATCGGAAAAGGCTGGCAGTGTTTCCATGGACACCTGGAGGCTCTCGTGTCCCAGCATGGTTTTGGGAGTGACAGTCGGCTCCGGTTGGTTTGGCCGGAGCCTCAAACCTGCGAAATGAAACCCGGCTCGCTCTGACTTTTAGTGTAACACTGCCACACAAGAGCAACTAGGTGTTAACTTCAGTCCCACTCAAGAGTGCTCATCTTTCCACTCTGCAAACACACACACACACACACACACACAGTGCTCCGTGTAGCAGGTGTGACACGTCTAATCAGTTTTAATAGCACCACTCTGCAGCTCCCTCTGCCCGGGTCTCGCTCGGCTGCCTCGGTGACAGCCCCGTAACGAGGGAGGGTAAAGCGAGGGCCGCCTGAGACACCCCCACCCATCTATCCGACCCCTCCACCCTCACCCTCCCAAACACAGCTGTTCCCTGTGGGCTCCCGGATACAGCACAGAGTCAACGTGTGCCAAAATCATTAAAGCAACTGTGGGTGACAGCTCCATCAATGTGCAGCAGCCCATCTGCCCATTTCACCTCTCGAGTCTCCCCTTCACTGCAGCCATTTAAAGCTCTCCAAGCCTCTCCAGAGCAACTACAAGTGCAGCACTCATCTACATCCACCCGCCAATTTAAATATGTGGCTGTGTTGTAATGACGTTTGTGTTTTTACACACACAAATACATGTGCAACCTTTTAAAAAAAAAGAAAAGAAGAAAACAGTCCTCTTTCCTCACCTAAGGCGCTTCTTGAGCTGCAGGCTGTCATGAATGATCCTCTTGACAAACTCCAGTTCTCCGCCCTCTGCCATGATCTCCGTCACCCCGCCCGTGTTCACTGAACTGGGAGGAGGTCGGCGTGAGTTTCTGGAGTTTACCCCCTGGAGAGGGCAGCAAGACAGACAGAGATTACAATGCAATCCTATTAGAGCCCTGTTACTAAAACGTAAACACACTGTGTTTGGTGCTGGAGCCTCTCCGGTCAGTATACGAGTGCATTTACTGTCAATGAGTCAGAAACTTCAAGTTCGAAGCAGACAACGCTCCAGAATTTAAACTACTTTTAAACTTGAACTTTTACCTTTGCTTCCAGCTGGTTGGCGAAAAAGGGAGGGTTGCACATGCAGAAGTCGTACACCATTTCTGTCTCTTCTTTCAAGGCATCCATCAGTAAAGTCTTCTGAGGAACTTTGACAACTGAGGAAGGTAAAATAAATAAATAAACACTAATGTGCGACAAGTGTGTAAAAGCTGAATAAAATGTATGACTGTCAATACAAAATGGGACTCCCGAGTCACTGTGTGCTGCACTCCTGTCAGCCACAGATTTGCTGAGCAGAGACAAGTTTAGTCTCAGCTCAGGCTAAATACGATTTCCAGCAAGACGTCCCTGTTTTGTCCGGCTAAGTGTCACAAAAAGACATCCTATTTACTACAACAGGAAACAAAGCATTTTCGAGGCAGGATATGGAGATTTTGGCGGGACTTGTTGAAATATTTACACTGTTATCCATGCTTTCATATCGTCACGTCTTGACTATTGTAACTCTCTCTATTTAGGTATTTGTCACTCAAGCCTGTCACGCCTGCAACTTGTTCAAAATGCAGC